GATACCAGAATACCATGCTGGTGTTTTAAAAGAGGGATGAAAGTTTATTTGAAGTTTTTTGTTTTGTTTTGTTTTTAGATTTCAAAAAACGTTACATTTGATTTTCAGAACTTTGTATATGGTCTTTGATAGTCGTGCGCCCTCTAGTGACTCGAGCAGTGACTTGCAAGTGAACAGGCACCTTAAATCTAGCACTAACTTGAGCAATTGCAACTTTTCCTCTAAAGGTGAAAAGAGGAAAGTGACCTGATCTTACCTTGAAAAAAATCTCTGCCCTTTAAAAGTTGATACCATCAAGTTTGGTTTACTTCGATAATTCTCTTTTTTTAACATAAAGGAAATATACCCAGTGTTAACAGTGTCTTTGGGCGATGAGCTCATGAGTGGTTTACTTTCTTCTTTTCTATTATAAGCGTGCATTACCTTTCATTTTTAATAATTTTTATTTTGAAATGTTATAATATGATAGAAAACTAGAGATAGCATAGTAAGTACCTGTGAATATACTACCCAGGTCTCTAGAATTATAACGTGTTGCCATATTTGCTTCCGAGTTTTTAATTATTTTCCATTTTGAAACTTACAGAAAAGTTACAAGTCAAAGAGGTTTTTCTAGTTGCTTATTTGATGCCCCAAATACTTTAGTATTAATATGAGTGGGTACATTTTCCTAAATAACCACAATACAACCATGAAAAGTTTCAGACCTTGTTTAAGTTCTGACACTTGTCTCAATAATGTCCCATGATGACTCTGAAAACCCATGCCTGGCTGTCCACATAAATAAATAGTCACCCTCCTCACTTTGCTTGGACTCCAGCACTGTAAGCTAGGCTGTCCCTCCTACATGTGTGCCTCTCTCCTCCCATGAGGCTCTAACAACCCATCCCAGACTCCTCTACCCCCATGTAGAGCACACTCTTGCTCACCTTGTTCAGACTCAGAAACCCAGCACACTTCTCACAGATGCTCTCCTCATCCCGCTCAGGCTCAGACCCCATAAACAGACTTTCCCCTGCCCAGGTGCCCTGCTCCATGTGCTCAGGATCTGACAGCCCACACCATGCCATGCACATGTGTGAATGCCCTCTTCACCCTGCCCCACCTCTGATTCCTCACATGAGAAGACCCTCCTTGCCTTATTTAGGCTCTGTTATGGGTTTAATTGTATCCTCTCAAACAAAATATGTTTAATTCCTAACCCATAGTACCTCGGGATGTTGCAGATGTGATTAGTTCATATGAAATCATGCTGGAGTAGGAAGGGCCCCTAATCCAATACAACTGGTGTGCTTATGAGAAGATGGCCACATGAAGGCAAAGACACCCAGGGAGAATGTCACATGATTATGAAGACAGAGACTGCAGCTATGCAGTTGAAAAGCCAAAGAATACCAAAGACTGCTGGAAAAGCATCAGAAGCTGGAAAAGGGCACAGAAAGATTCCCCTGAAGGTTTCAGGGGAAGCCTGGCCCTGATGATGCCTCAGTTTCAGACTCCCAGCCTCCATAACTGATACAATAAGTTTCTGTTGTGTTAAGCCACCCAGTTTGTGGTAATTTGTTAAGGAAGCCCTAGAAAATTAATACAGATTTCGCTATCAGGAAGTGAGGTACTGCTCTAACAAATACCTAAAAATGTGGAAGTGACTTTGGATTTAGGTAATGGGTAGAGGCTGTGAGATTTTTGAGGTTCATGATAGAAGCAGCCTAGATTGCCTTGAAGAGAATGTTGCTTCACATAAGAATGTTAAAGGTTCTTCTGGTGAGGTCCCAAGCAGAAATGAGAAACAACTGTTGGGCACTGGAAGAAAGGCAATCAATCCTTGTTATGAAGTGGCAGAGGACTTGGCTGAATTATCTTCTATTGGGAGGAAAGTAGAACTCATAAGCGATGTACTTAGATAGTTAGCTAAGGAAATTTCCAAGCAATGTGTGGAAGGTACAGCCTGGTTTCTGCTTGCTGCTTATAGCAAGATGAGAGAGGAAAAAAGACAAACTAAGGAATGAATTGTTAGGCAAAAAGGAACAAGAACTTCAAGATTTGAAATACTCTCAGCCCGGCCATATTGAAAAAGTGAGAAACTTCACTCTGGAGAGAACAACAAAGGTGTGACTTGAGGACCCAGTCAACCATCTAAGCAGAAGCTAGGACTAGAGATGCAGTTATCTGGTAAAGATCTGTGGAGAACCCTCTTGATGGCTCAGACTTCTGTGAATTGCAGGGGAGGCTGACAATATTTTTGAGAATTTTATACCTCAGAAACACTACCACCCTGGACTGGAAGGAACTGAGGCGCAAAATGAAGGACTAATGACTGAAAGAGCCATGGGTGCAGACACCTGGGCCAACTGGGTCTTCTGGGCTCCAGAGGGCAGAGTCACCACTTCCTTTTAGAGGGCAGAGCCACTGCTGAGGAATGAGGGAGTGCAGCTGCTATCCAGTATCCAATGAAGCTGCTATTAAGGGCAAGGGCCAGGACCACTGCCATGATTCCAGAGGGCAGGGCTGCTGCCCAGGGCTGAGGGGGCAGAGCCAGTGCTAGATTTCCAAGGGTGGGCCTGTTGCACAGGGCCAAGGGATGAGATCTATGCCCAGGTCTGAGAGGGTGGGATCTCTGTCCAGGAAAAGAGGGTGGGGATCAGTACCCAGACATGGGGACATAGTTGCCACTCAGGGCCTAGGGGGTCAGGGCACTTCCTGGTTTCCTGAGGGGGGGGCACCTCCTCTGATGCAGAGGATGGGGTAGCTGACAAGGTATCAGGGGGTGGAACCTCCACCTAGGGCTCAGGGGCAGAGTTGCTGTCCAAGGGTGAGGATCAGGGACACAATCCAGGGCTGACGCGGTAGGTCACCCAGTGAACAAAGACATAGAGAATTATTCTAAAGCTGTAAATACTAATAGAATTTTCCTTTTAACTGCGAGCTGCTTTAAACAAGTGATACCTTCCAATTTCTCCCTTTTGGAATGGAAATGATTATCCTATGCCTATCCCACCATTGTATCTTGGGAGCAGATAACTTGTTTTCTAGGTTTCACAGATGCACAGCTGGAGAGAAATTTTGCCCCAGTATGGACCAGACCTGGAGTCTCACCCACACTGATTCATATGATACTTAGATGAGATTTTGAACTTAGAACTAACGATGAAATGGATTAAGACTTTTGAGGCTGTTGGAATGAAGTGAATGTCTTTTGCATTTGGGAAGAACATGAATGAGGAGGGCAAAAGGCAGACTGTTATTGGCTGAATTGTGTCCCCGGTGTGGATGAAAAAGAGGCCACATACTAAATGTGACAAGCTCAGGGGAGGCCTGCATGGCAGGCCTTACAAACTCGGAGACCTAAAGTAACCACATAGGATGGTTTCAGCATAAAAATCCCTAACTAAAAGCAGGTCATGGCAGGTAGTCCCATCCTAGACCTGTAGCTTCCTTGACAAGGGTCAATTTCTACCCTAAGTGAGCCTGCATCTAAGATAATATACCTTTGAAATGTCAGAGTAATCTTTTCTAGATCCCTCAGGGCACAACCCTGGCACCAGAGCAGGAGACCACAGAGCCCCTCATTGTTATCTTGTCCCCTGAATACCATATCTATGTGCTGTAAATGTTAATTATTAACTATCCTGTACCAACCAATGTAAAAGAAATATGTTTTTCCACTTTACTTTTTTTATCCAATCCCAGAGATTCCCACGCCTCCTTAATCTACCACCAATGGATTCTAGGCTTGACCATGTGACTTTCTTTGGCCAATGTGATGCAAGCAAAATCTTGAATGTACTTGCACTTTGGGGCTTGCCCTTTCTTGCCTTAAGACCACTGTGGGAAGAAATATGGCTTTGACTCCTAGAAGATGAAAAAACTCTTGGAGAGAAAGTCCAAATATCCCAGGCATTCCAGCTGAGGCCCCAGAATTAGCCAAGCAAAGAAGGAGCATAGTCATGGAAGGCAGAGGGAACAGCATAAGCAATAAACAGAGCCATGAATCAGCAGGCTGTGTGCAGAGAACCAACTAAAAGTAGTTCTATATTACTGTAGGGTCAAATTTTTGAGGTGGTAGAGCAACAGTGTCTTGGAGATGTAGACAGGGACCAAGCAAAGATATCTTATGCTTTGTTTTCATTTTTCCTGAGGGTTATTGGGGGTTTTAAGGGGGAAGAGACATGATCAGTTTGCAGTTTAAAAAGATCACTTTGTTGGCAATATGAAAGATGGGTTGGAGAGGTAAAAGTTGGAAGGGAGATATTAGGAAGCTGTGATAATGGTGTGGACAAGAATTGATGAGTGCCTTATAGGAGCAGTGGTAGAAGAAATGGCAAGGAAGGGAGAGACATGGGAAATATTTAGGTCAAAAGAGTAGGATTTAGGGATTGACTGAATGTCAAGGTTGCAGAGAGGAGGGTTGAGAGATGAAGAGCCCAAGACAGGACAGAGGAAGACATGGGAAGAAAGCATTAAGCCCTAGAAAAAGCAATGTGTCCTAAGTGAGGCCTGGGGGATGGTATGGCTAGGGGAAGTGGGGAAAGGGTCACAGTGTCTATAAAAGGGTGCAGATGTGGAAAGCCAGCCTTCTGGCCCTTGTACAACCTACCATAATTACTCATGGACATATGATGAACAGAATCATAGCTCCTTAGGAAGAATTAGAAGAATTACAGCTAGATACCATTGGCAAAGCTTGATAGATTCTGGTTTAGTTTAAATGTCTGTTAGTTCCAGAGAGAAATGTAATCTCAACTGTAGCCCTCTCACACCAAACCCTTTGGATTACTTTTCTAACTCTGAGTTGCTTTAACCTGGGGCTTGGTTATTGTGCATGCACAGAAAGATCAAGTGGCTGCCCGAGTAGGTCCTGTTCACCCTACCCTCCCTAGAGGGGGACACCCGTTGGGTAGGCGCAGATTGAGGACGTCAGACGTCCGCCTGGCTTGCCGCATATAAGGGGCGTGGCCTGAAGGACGCATTGCCAGTGGCGACTACTGTCTTGGTGAACAGCCCTGGGGCCCCTGGAGGCTGATGGTAAGCCTTGGATCTGTACTTGAGTCGCTGCCATAAGGCTGCTGAAGCCGCTTCCACCAAGGCAGCCGCCAGCAGCCTCACTGATGATGCAGAGCAGTGTGGCATTGTGAGTGGAGGCCAGTCTGTAGTCCTCTTCCTTGAGGCTCCTGGGTGAGGTTTCGGGAAGGTGGGCTGATGGAAGGGGTGGGGATCTCAGAAGAGCTACGGCGTAGGGGGATGGGCGGGTGCTTGAGGACTCATGTTCTGGTTCCCAGGTCCTGGGCAGCCAGTGGCTGAGTGTTTCTCTGGCCAGGACTAGCCATGGGCAGGACCAAAAGATAGGGCTGATGAACCCGGGAAGCTGGGAGGTCTTCTGGGGTGTTGGCAGCGCGGATTCTTTCAAACCTGAGTGTATGATCCTTTGGTTTGTTTGGAGGTATTAGCCCACTAAAGTATGAGTAGAATGGTCTAAACTAAAAGACTAGTTCAAGAAAAAAAGACAGACTTTCTAGTTATCTGACAGCTTGTAAAAAAAAACAAAAAACCATTACAGAGGTAGGAACATCTCATCGGTTAGATCTGCCTCTTGGGGTCAAGCTGCCTGTTCTCCCAGGAAGCAATAATGTATTCTACACTACAAACATAAGTGAAAAGGTGAACAGAGTTTTAATAGTGCTTATGTGATTTTCTTTACCCTTTTTAGCTTGGTATTAAACTTGAAACACCAATGTTGCTTTCCTTTGAGTCAACTTCAATTTCACATACCAAGTGAAATTAAATAACTTGAAGTGTTTAATGTCTAAACCTCATTTTAATGATAGACGGCCCCATGATATGCCTCAGCCACACAATTCAGCCTTACCTCCAACCCAGAGCCTTAGCTCAAAAGGTTGGGATCTTTCTGCCTACCCACACGTACCATGCTAATTCCTACTTTCATGCCTTTGTACATCTAGTGTGCACTTTCCTCCTCTCCTTCCTGACCTTCAGTGTGAGCCATCTTTCAAGAGCTACTATATGAAGTCTTTCCCAAGTGTTACACCCCTAATTATATTTCCTTAGAATTTACATTGCCCTTGGTCTACACTATCTCACCCAGCACTGAATCAGTACTGTTAGTAAAACACTGTGCCACACTCATATCGTACACATTTTAAGTCCTCTGTGTAACACTCCTCACCCTGTCCTTAGCTAGGCCAAACCTGAAAGAGGTTCAGAACTTTTTGGTTGATGAGTGCTTTGGTCACAATAAGAAAAAGGTTCTACAGGAATAATTATGACATCTTTACCCTTCCACTGTCTAGGGCGTCATCAAGAATGAGTAGGGGCTCCTTTGTATTTCTGACATTTTCCTAATATATATGATTTTTTTTTTAAGTTTTATTGCTGGAGAACAATATAATTTCTCTTTTGAAAACCAATATGTCCTATTAAGTATATGCCAACCTCACAGAAATTGAGTCTCACTCCCACTAATTAGCCTTCCTAAAACATACTCAGAACCCATTTCACTACTAGTAATAACACTCTTTTTTAGTTTGTAACTGGAGTCCTATCTGTTGGTTGCTTCCTCAAATATCTTCTAGTTGCTGTATTTCTATTCTGTTCCTCTGTAGTTCACTTTTTTCCTCTTAGAAAATGGTTATAAACCAAGTAAGCCCATGAAAGTGCATGGTTCCATGAATGGCTTTTTTTTTTATTTTATTTTATTTTTGTTTAAAATATTACAGATGTCCCTTTTTCTCCCCAATGACCCGTTCCCCCCAAGTCCTCCCCCCTCCCCAGTCCCTTTCCCCACCATTGTCCATGTCCTTGGGTTGTGCATATCTGCATATAAATTCTTTGGTTACTCTCTCCCCCTCCATCCACCCACCCTCCTCCATCCCTCTACATTCATCAGTCTCATCTACACTTCCATGTCATTGAATCTATTCTGCTCATCAGTTTATTAAGTTCTTTAGATTCCACGTATAAGCGAGATCATGCGATATTTTTCTTTCGCTGCCTGGCTTATTTCACTTAGCATAATATTCTCCAGGTCCATCCATACTGTTCCAAAGGGTACGAGATTCTTCTTCTTTACAGCTGTGTAGTATTCCATGGTGTAAATGTCCCACAGCTTTTTAATCCACTCATCTACTGATGGGCAAGAACGCAAGCAACTCCAGACCAAGAACTATTAATACATAACAGGTACAGTTAAAGCTAATGCATATTTGGGGACATATTGTGAACCCCAGAAAGTTGTAAAAGTACTAGAAAGAATTGAAAGTAAGATGAAAAAAATTAGACACTATTATTTAACTATAGTCTTCAACCTGAAAAGAAAGGAAAAATAATTAATAGGTAAAAGGGATTGGGAACCTTGGTTCCAAGGCTAGGGATGAGAGTTTCTACCTGAGTAACTGAAGTCAATAGGAGCCCAAGAGGTAAGCTGGTATTTGTAGAAGAAATCCAAAGTACAAATTCCTGCACTTGGAAAACCCAAGCCAATAGTAGCAGAGAGAGAGGAGGTATCTTTAGCATATTTCAAGCTTAAGTTTAAAGAAATTACTGTGAGGTCAAAAAGGGAAAGTTGCTATGATTTTATGCTAATATAAACAGGTGGTGTTCCCCAACCAACTGTATATGTTCATAGAGCTATTGCCCTCACATACTCAATGTTACCATTCAGAGACCAAACCCAGGCCCCAGGAGGCAAAGAAATGAGTTATAGTTCTTTCCATTTCTCCTTTAACAGGGTGAGGGCCATTTCCCCATCACCTGGCTCTTATATTCCATGGATTCATCATGTCCTATGCGAGAATACATACTGATCATCCAGAGTCCCAGACTGGTAGTCTGCAGACATGTATACATAAAAGGTTGTTCAAGGAGTTGGAAATTACAGAGAGGCCAGTACCCACTTATTTTTAAAGGAAATTCAAATCTAATTGTTTTTTGAAGCAAATCCTTTTTTTCAGGGCTATATCAATTTTTATTAACAGGAATTATTCTATCTATACAGATATTTTGTATACACATATATGTGCATATGAACATTATGCAAAATTGCAGTTGCCTATATTATCTTTATGAAATGGAGTTCTCCATGAGTATAGATTATTATTCACACAAGATCTGAACACATACAAATGTTAACCTACTTTAATTTGCACTCTAATTCCTATTAAGAAAAGATAGACAAATATTCAAAGCAACGTGGGAAGTTTATTTGAATTAAACTGATATATCTTCCTTAACTTTTTTTGAAAAGCACTTTTCTTTCAGTGTGACTTTTCAGAATTGCTTAAAGAAATTGTAAATTAACTTTTGATAATTTAGTGCTTAATTTTTATTCTTTCATGCTTAGCCTGCAGGGAACACCATTTCAATGTTCCTTTGTGATGGGGATGCTGATGGTGACATTTCCTGATTATCATATCAAACATTGGCACTGACTTCCAGTACAGTCCATTGACTGAGCTTTTTTGCAATAATCCTTAAGGGGAAAATACTTGCATTGACTTGAATATCAGAGAAAAGTTTAAAACTTAGTTCAGAATTCAGTTGATATTTCTTACCCATCTTATTTCTTTATAGTTCTTAGTGTACGAGGAGGTCAGAAGTTCCTAGAGTGTCAGCACCGGAATTTTAGGAATATAAACTTTTTGATATGGAAAGGACTCTAACATATTTCTTGCATTGCTTGCATTAACATAAGTTATAGCAGCACCTTGTGGTTTCCCAGTCTCATTACTTCTTAATCATCTGCAGACATATCCATCAGTTCTTAGTTACCTGATTTCTTCTTTTCCATCCTTTATCAGTACTTTATCTCATTACAGCCCAGATGAAACTGGAAGAGAAAATTCAAAACAACTAGAGCTGCTACTCTTAAAGGAAGCAAAAGCTGTGTTAAGGAAAGTAAACAGACATAGATGGCTCAGCTAAGACGGATGTTTTGTAGCTATCTGGATAGCAGTGCCATCCATCCCCAGCATGGGGATGGCGGTTGTAAAAAGAACTAAATCAGTTGAGGGAACCCAGGCAACTCCCGTGGTATTTCTCAGTCAGGACTCCACAACCAGGGCTACATTTGCTATTTCAAGATACCAAAACTTCCCAACACACCAGACTCATGTCTATTAAAGGCTTATAAAGTGACATATTTCAAAGCCATACAGATTTATTTTTTATTTATTTTGAACCAGTTTCTCTCCATCACCACAGATAATCAAAATTATCCTGTTTCCATTTCTTACAGAAGTTCTTGCTTCATTTTGTTTTGCACAAAAGATACTACTTTAAGGCAGCATTTATCCGAAAATTTGGTTTGCACTGTTATAAAGAGATCTAAACTTGATAACTCAAATTAATTTAAAGATTCTGTGGCATCATCAAAGACTACAGAAATGGGGAAAGTCATTCATATAATTATAACTGCCTTTTCCTTGATCTGTCTTTAACACTGCAAAATGGGAAGTGACATTTAACTAGGGAGGTGAGGAGAAATGAAGATTTACTCTTTGAAGATTCCTTTGGAACATATGTTCAAAGGATTAGTGTATGGGTGGGTAAGGAGTGAACATTCAAGGTCCTTCACAATTTTGGCTATTATTCATCATTTTTTAAAATCTAGGTCAGCAATACCTTGTCTTTTTTCATGAACATATCTGTATTTCCTGCTCTATAATTAGTTCCCTACTAAGAAGTTTAGAGAAACATGTTATCGTGTCTAAATCTGTTATAAAACTTTCAAGATAAATGATGAAACAGAATGTAATTAAAGTATTTGTGTACTTTGCATTTCTTGGCAAGTAAAAAAATTTGAAGCAAAAGTAAGAACCTCAGTTAGGTTCTCTTCTTTGGACTGCAGTGATATTCTTGAATGCAAAAAATGTATAGAAACAAGCAAATATTCCTTATTATTTTTATTTCTTCTTTTATATATACCACTAATAATATAAGTAAATGGCATTTGAAAGATAAACATACTAAATTGAAACCAGAAACCATGTGAAAATCATCCTGTAGAACTACAGGAAAAATGACTAAGGCAATAGTTTTCATTATTCACTGTCTCTTCAATTCCAGACTGCTAGTAGGAATTCATTTCAGAATTCAATCAAGCCTGATATCAGCAAAGTGAAACTTCTAAAAGATGTCCAAAGCACAAAAGATCTTATCATCCTGTTCGTAACTCATGACATTAATCAAGAAGTTTCAGAAAATGAAGAAGAGAGCTTAAATTCTGATGAAGATGAAGTTGTTTTACAAGAGGTTGTAAAAGAAGAATTTCCAGACTACCCATTAGAAGATCAAAGCCCATTGAAAGCACAGTGGCTTTTCCCAAGCCACTGATGAGCAAGAGCATTCTGAAAAAAATTTTGTCACTCGGAAAATGTTGTCATCCCAAATCCAGCGTAACTACAACAAATATTGAAGCATCACCAACTCAATGGACAGAATGTGAGGGGACACAAATGAGAAGAATTGTGCCTAAGGCTAATGTGACTACTTCAAAATCCTTGACTGACACAGACTTTTCCTCTTGGGAAAGACACAACTAAGTGTAAATAAAAAATATGACTATTGGTGAATGGGTTTCTATGGAAAGGGTAGAGAGTTTTACAAACTTATTCCAAGTAATATATGTTGGGTAGGAAGAAAAGGGCATAAACTGGATCCAGGCAATCTCTCCTAACTCTGATGATATTTACAACGAAAGAAAAATGACTGACAGATGAAGCCAGGAACCTTGATTGAAGAAAAACAGGTCAGGGATCTCCCTCATATTCAAGCTAACTGAGGTTTTACTATATTTTTTCTAGAAACCTTAGCCCAAAGGATAATCCAGAGAGTCCTCTCATCTTGGTCCTTTATGACTATACACATATAAAGTGCATATGAAATGCATACACATGATTTCATTTGGTCCTCTTGTGAGAAAGTAGTTACATACTCATGGTACATCAGAGGAACCAGAGAAGTTAGAAGTAACTTTCCTGTGTTCACTGAGCTCTAAGCAGTGAAGTTAAGCCTCAGATGTAGTTTTTCTGATTCCCAACAAGTCCAGTGCTCTTTTTACTACTTGTTGCCCCCTCACTGTAGGTCTTTTGAAACTTTTCTCTCAGTATCATTTCTACCTCCGTAGGCCAAATGTTAATCACTGATGTCTCCTGGAACTCAGAATAATGCCTCAGCAAGCTCCTGATTTTCACAGGAAATAAGTATTGTCTAAGACCAGCACCTTCCTTTCTAGCATTTCTTTAGCTGGCAGTCTCATTCAACTCTCAAGACTGCAGGTGTCCACAGTTTGTAGTGTATTTTGTACAAATATGGTTTTACTTGAGAATCTAAATCAGCTCGTGGTATGAGATGTTCATCTGTAGCATTTGGCATGTGTCATGGCCCATTCACTTTGGCCATAAACACCCCAGGCACTTTTCTGTCTCTTCAGCAACCAGTGCCAACCAGGTGAAGCCCACTACACTGCCCACAAAGGGATCAAAGCAGCATCAGGGTATCTTGAAAGAGAGTTGGTCTCACCAAGCTGACTTCATTTTGACATATGTAACTCCTACTTCCAGTACACCATGAATGCCATGCCTACTTCTTGATTTCTCTTTTCAGCAGTTTTGCTTTGAAAGGAGTATGAACTATTAGCCAAAGGGTTCACGGTGCACCTAGGGATGAGCTTTGCACATGCTATTATCCAGCCAGTGCCAATCTTAAACAATATGCAGTAGCTACTAGTTACAGCAAGTTGCGGGTAGTGCCTCAAAATGTCAGTCAGGGACTGCTTACATCAGGATCACCCAGGATGCTTACTAAGAATGCAGAATTCTGGCCACACCCTAGACTTGCCCAGTTCGTATCTCTGGGAAATGGTGTCCAGGCATCTGCATTGTTAACAAGATCCTCAAATTGCAGAAACAAAGCTGCATTTCTTCCCCTCCAGTGAGATTTTCAGAACATGGTCTTGCAGCGCATACCTCAATCCTGTAACTAAGTCTCTGTCTTGCTTTTTCAGACTGTAGACCTCTCTATTTGAGCCTTTGTCTTTGCATCTACAGATTTTGCTTTTTATTTATTAATTTCTACCAGCACATTCTAGTAAGGCATTACAAGTTTAGAGAGCTAAACTTTTTCCCCTTTATTTGGGGGTAAATGTGCTATGCGCTACCTTACTTTCAATCATAGACTCTTGAGGTTCCCAAGGTTATATTGCTGGAGAAGATAAAAACTAGGTAACTGCAGAAAGAATAGGAGAACTTTGTCTTTTACTGGAAATAAAGTATGTGTTTTATTGCCCTGTTCCTTTTCATGACATCCTGTTATGATGCATCAGCAACATAGATAAATGTTCATTTCTGTCCTTACAGATACAGTAATCATTTTATTAACATCAACTATGATATGTTTTAAGAGCCCTTTGGACAGGACAAGTGGTGCAGAAAAATGGGTTCAAATGGAGACTCTTATTGGCCACACAAGTCCTTTATCACTCACACAATAAACAGATCACTTGGGTTCAGTCAACTGAAAATTTACCCAAAGTGGATGAGAAATGATCGCCTTTTCAGTGCACTGCTGCTTTTACCTGGACATTCTAACATGGACACCCACAGTGCTGAGAGTTGAAAGTTACCGTTTTATGTGGAATTAGCTTATCAGGCTTTTTTTGGGTAGTCATCTGCTAGCATGAGGGAGACTGGCGCTGCTGAGCTGGGTGAAGAAGCATCAGGGTGCCGAGAGTGCAGAACTGAGCAGCACATCAGAAAGCCTGGGCCCTATTGCCAACTTGGCCACTTCCTACCCTTATAACCTTAGATGAGGTATCTGACCTCACTGAATTTCTCCTGCTTCCTTCCCAGGGGTATCAGAGGGGGCAAATAAAGACTCTTTTGAAAGCCCTTTAAAATCCAAAAGTTCTGCCCAGCTGGTGTGACTCAGTGGTTGAGTGTCAACCCAGGAACCTGTGGGTCAGAGTTCAATTTCAAGTCAGGGCACATGCCTGGGTTGTGCGCTCAATCCCCAGTAGGGGGCATGCAGGAGGCAGCTGATCATTGGCTCTTTCTCATCATTGATGTTTCTCTCTCCTTCTCCCTTCCTGAAATCAATAAAAACATACCAAAAAACCCAAAAGTTATTATACAAATGCTTCTTTCTGAGTCCTAAATTATCAATCCCCTAGCCTCACAGCCTCAATTGAAAAGCCCAGTAAATGACCATGGTTCTCATTTGATTTGTTCACAGACACTGATAAGCCTAGTACTTAAGGGTCTGAAATAAAAAGGAAGGTATCTTCAGCCCTGTCCAAAGTATTTTCAAGATCTAAAGATAATGTTCCCAAATCTTCCTCACCCTCTCCCGCTCCCTGGGACAGAAGCTGAGGCTGCTACACTGAACATCAATAAACCTGCTGAAATTCCTCAGTGATTTTTGAAACAATCCTACATGCTGAATCTATAAATAAGAGCAAAGGTAGTACAAAAAGGCAGCTGGAAAAAAGGAGGGTTTGATAAATACTTTTGATAGGCATTTTGGCATGAGAAGAGGGGTGGTGCCTTACATGTAGATGCAACTACCAGGCACTGTGGATTTAATCTCTGCTCTTGAGGGCCCTGCAGCCTTGCTGGGAAGATAAAACCAACTTAGAAGCAGAAGTGTGACACAATAAGATAGTGTGTCATCACGTATTTTGAGTGCTCTCAGGGTTCAAAGAAGGAAGTCATCGCTGTGAGCTGGAGTGGTTGGGATAAGTTTCATGGAGGAACTGGAATTGAGGCAATCCTCACAGGACAGGTAGGGTTAGGTAGGCCTGGAAAATACCAGGAAGATTTTCACCTCAGGTCATGCAGCTGCATACAATGCTACCATGCCTAAACAGTCTAATTCAGCGTGGTATCATAGCCATGATGGAAATAGCCAATATATACTCAGTACAGTACAGTAGCCACTAGCCCCACGTGGCTACTGAGTCACTAATATAATTGAGAAACTAAATTTTTCATTTTGATTTATTTCAGTTCAGACAGCAACATGGGGCTAGTGGCTCCCCTCTTGGACAGTCAAGTTAGTACATGGCCTCACAGGCACTAGTGAATTCAGATTAGGTTGACTAGTTCCCTGAAAGTTCATTTCCAAATACCTAGAGCAGTACAGTGATGTGAGTCCTCAGAGAGGCTTTGAAGCCCCCAGGCGTCCTCTTGGCACTTTCAAGATACACGTGCCACCCATGTGGTCAGGGCAAGTTCATGCTTTCCAGTAATACCTGTGCTCCTGCGCTTGCCAAAACTCAATTGATGGAGGAAGGATCTAGAGCACCACATCTAGAACACCAAAGTCAAGGAATCACAAAGAGTAAATCAGAAGCTGTTCTTGCCAGCTAGCCTCAAACATAGTGACTACCTAGAAACTGCTTCTGTGGGACAGAAACACCGATCTGGTACTGAAACCACCACTCTGGCATCCCTCTATCCACTTAGTGAACAGGATGATCACTAAACTAGTCATTTTCGTACCCCAGCCTTATCCAAAACTTCCCAGGGAAATATTTCTAGACAAATAAATCTCCTTTGTGCTGTACCTGTATAGTCCATGAATGCCAACTGAATTTTAGCAAACAGAAGGGCATGCAGTTCTACCCAAATATTACCTACACCCAAATTTGGCTGCTGCATCTGCTCACTCATTCCTGTCTTTAAATATTGAAGTTCATCACATGTGACAGCATAACTTATAAAGTTATTTTTTAATTTATTTTTATTGTTGAAAGGATTACAGATGTCCCCCTTTTTTCCCCAATGACCCCCTCCACCCCACCCCCAGGCCTTTGCCACACTATTGTCTGTGCCCATGAGTTATTCATATATGCGTATAAATTCTTTGGTTAATCTCTCCCCACACACTTTATTTATGTATTTATTTATTTAATCCTCATGTGAGGATATTTTTTCCATAGCTTTTCAGAGAGAGTGGAAAGGAGAGAGAGAGAAACATCAATGTGAGAGAGACACATCGATTGGTTGCCTCCCACACACTCCCCAACCAGGGCTGGGGGTTGAGCCTGCAACCGAGGTACATACCCTTGGCTGGAATCAAACCTGGGACCCTTCAGTCCACAGGCCAATACTCTAAACACTGAGCCAAACCAGTTAGGGCCCACCTTATTTTTTAAAGTTTCACAATAATGACAAACACCGATCTTACATATATGGCTTTAATTTGTTAATAAATAATAAAAATCCAGTTTGGATTTCAAAAGTACAAATGGTACAGTGAAAAGTAACCTCGTCCCCTCTTCTCCCAGCTGCTACCTGGTTCTCTCCAGAAGCAATCTCTTTGACAGTGGATCAAGTATCCTTCCTGAGATACTCTATGGATAACAAGTATATTAACATAGGACTTTAGAAAGAAGTCTAACTGAAGATCCTACCTCAAAAAGGCAGAAAACAGAGCGAGAGGCAGAGAGGGAGGGCCTTGAGCACAGAAGAGACAGG